TTCGCCTCTCTCTCACATTGGATTTGTAGCTCCTGCTCGGGAGTGCTCTTGCCCGTTGCGGTCACCAGCCGGCGAGGCCCTGCTCGGAGCCATTCTTTTCACGCGGCCGTTGTTTTTCAGTTTTCACGCAGCTTTTTCTTTCCCCTTCTCAGCATTCTCCAGCCTCTTACCAAATTGATCGGGATAATCGCGGAGCGTGCAGAGAGGTTGGATCAGCATCAGTTGGAATAGGCAGACGACGTAGTCGAGGCTCTCCTCCTTTGATGCATCCTTTTTGCTTCACAATCTTACGTCAAGTTTTCTCCACGCCACCTCTTCGTCCATCCTCCCACCCTCCATCGTTTTTTTCCGTTTTCCACCCCCTTCTGGTTTCATCAAATCAATATTTGGTAACCTAATAAACTGGATGAATCTATGATATAGCAATAACTTCACTATCAGTAAATAATGTTTTTTATGGTAAGACCTGTTAGCGGACAGTCATTTTCGGTAACCCAATAAAAATAATAAATTCACGTTTGTAAGTAAATAAAATATCAATCAATCTCTTATATTTGATAACACAATAAAACATATCAAGCATGGGCACATACCTAATATATTTTATCAGTTTATTAAGAGATGGTACAAATTTGTGCTTTAGACCAAAACATAATCTTATTTCGTCTATTTGTTTTGCACCAAGATTTATCTTGTTTGGTCCTCTTATTATGTTAAAATATATCTGGACCCGTGGCAACGCACGGGCACATACGTAGTACTCCCTCCGTCCAAAAATACTTGTCATCAAAATGGATAAAAAGAGATGTATCTAGAACTAACATACATCTAGATACATCCCCTTATATCCATTTTGATGATAAGTTTTTCCGGACGGAGGGAGTATATACTTAAAAGAATACTTAATGTTCTGTCGTCCATCCTTTTTCCGTCCTCCATCCGCACCACTCCTCATCCATTTTTGATTTAGTCAATTTTTCTCACTATTTTTTCTTAAAATCATCTCAACCGACTCGCGTCTTATTGACTTACCAAATAAAATAATATTTTCCTTGGTAAGTCAATTAATATCGATTCAAATACCTTTTGATATGTAATCGCATTAACAATGAAAAATACCTCATAAATCATGATGATTGCGTATAAAATATGTGTGCTCTGTTGCAACGAACGGGCAATTATTATCTAGTGTATACTTGCACTGTCACACACACACACACACATGGACCCTATGGGGTTAGATATTCTTAACAATTGACAATCATATTCCATCGCAAAGTAAAAACCAATTTGATTATTCTTATTTGTTTGACGAAAAAAAAGACTAGGTAGATTTTCATTGCAATTCGACAATGAGTTCAAGCTACTTGGGACGTTAGGTCCCTAAAACAAAAAAAACTATGATAAATAGGATAACAATTGGGCACGACACAACTGCGCATCATGCACCAGTCAAATTAACATCGACGACGTGCCTTTCAGCCTGGCTCAAGATTCATCAGTGCCTTGTGTTGTCCTCCTGCCTTTAAGTGTCCGGAGAATACTGCAATACCATTGTAGGATGGCTTATCCAAGTAGGATCCTTTTATTAATTTTGCTGTGGTAGCTCATGTGGCCACCATATGCTTGTGGTGTTCTGAACCTGATGTTACACTGCCTACATGTGTACTCATCCAATCTTAGTCGAGCCGCTGTTGAGATGGTACAGGGTGCAGGATTTGCTTGAAACATAACACTAAGGCCACCCATCATTGTTTGCTGCATCGCCATTCGCCCACGGGTAGATTCTGGGACTGTACAAGGTGTTTGGTTGACAAGTGGTAGGACCCCACAAAGTTCTTCATATGATGATGGCCCTAGGATTGTATATGGCTTCTGATCCTGCACATAGTTGGATGTGAAAGACAGTTAGGTTTACACCTACTATAGAGGAAAAAAAAGGCAATGGTAGTGAGTTTACCTTGGAGACTAGCAATTCAGAATACTCGAAGACCGGAGAAATATTGAAAACTCCACTAGAGTTAAGGTTGGCATCCATGATGGCAAGCGGACTTCCTTGGATCGCAGAATGGGTCTCCATGGTAAAGATCTACATTTCATCAAGCAAGCAAACCAAAGTATTTACTCACCGGGGAATGCATGCATGATGTTTATGCTACTATATAACACCAAAGGACGGACTAACCGTGAAGTTGTCAATGAATGGACTAACGGTGAAGTTGTCCTTGAACGGACTTGCGCTATCCGGTGGTGCAACAAGAACCGAGCTGGACGGGAGTGCTGGTGGAAGACGCGCAAGTCCATTCATGGAGTGTTCATCGAACGGAAACATGGACTCTCCGTGCTCTGGGTTGATGGGCATACTATTCATATATGGAGTTGAAATTGGCATTGGGTTTTTCATCTTCTGGAACTCTTCCAACGTTGGCATAGCGGTTGTACCTCTAAGCGCTTCATGCAACGGGGAAACATACGAAATGTAGTCCTCGTCACTTGTGAAACATCTCGTATCCTTGGTCAGAGAACCATCTGGATCCATGGAAGGCTAATCTAATAGGAGAATGATAAGCTTTCTGTGTGTGTGTTTCTATCTTTGTAGGTGGTTTCTAAAGCAGCGTAGGGGGGCTCTTTATAGCAACCATGTTGAAACAGAAAGTTGTTCTTCCATGCGTCGGAGTAATTAGCCGTATCTATAATATATGATCCACATTATGCTTGTAATCTAGACTAGAAGATACGATTCACAAAGGTGTAAACGTATTTTCTTAACGTAAATCTTTTTGATTTATGTATTTAAAAAAGATCAACTGCTCCGTACAATGTAAGAAGACAAGTACGCCACCCTTGTACAATTTGATACTGCACGTGTTCGCCATCTTTCTCTTCACGTGCTCACGGATGCATGGCTATCAAATCAGGCAGGTATCTGCATGCGTCACTTATATTTGGCAAGAGGATAAATAGGGATACCGGCGGTCCATCAGACGGGTAATTGAAAATTTTCAAGATCTCAGCCATTTATTTTTTACCTTCAGGCTTGCATCCAATAGTTGACATTTGCTTTCTCGATTTTCAATTGCCTTCGGCTAGCTGTGGGCCGATACTTGGCTGTCCAATATGGGCCTCATCTTTCAACGTGTCCAAGAGACTGCCACAAGTCCCCGAGTATAAGGATACCTAAACGGCAAACTCTATTTGACGATCTCTACGTCAAATGGTCGACCCTTCGCACAGGTGACTCGAGCGACTGACATGGGTCGGCACATTTAGCAGTAAGTGAATCCTGGTTTTACCGACTTTGGGAATTTTTTGGAAGGTTTTGGTCCGGTTCAGGCCAAGCTTTTAGGGTTTTCATTTTCTGGTGGTATCATTTTCTTGTTTTTCTTTGGTTTATTCTTTCTTTCGTTTTTTCATTTTTCCTTTTTTCAATTTTATTTTTAAAATAATTCATTAATTTTAAAATATTTACACCCTTACTAAAAAATTATGTTTTCAAAAAATGTTTGTGTTCTCAAAAAATGTTCATATTTTCAAAAGTGTTCGTGTTTTCCTAAGAAAATATTCCCCATTCTCATCTTTTGTTCACATCATAATTATTTTTTTCTGGTTTTCAAAAAATGTTTGCACTTTCCAAAAGTTGTTCCCATTTTCGAAAAATCACGTTTCCAAAATAGTTTGCATTTCAAAAATATTTTTATTTCCAAGAAATATTTTTTGTTATACCATATTTATATTAAAACCAGTTGATCTAAATTTTAAAGGAAATGAAAAATTATGTAAAAATTGAACCGAGAAAACCAAACAGAAAATCAAAAGTAAAAAAGGGCATTGTGGAACATGCTGAGGAAGAGCGCTCGTTACGATGACCAAACTGGGCTAGCCCAGAACACACAAGCCTCTACGTTTGCCAGGCATCTTGACGGAATACGTGACGAATAGGAGCTCCCTACCTAGTACTGAACATATTCTGTCCGGCTCTGAGCCAAATCAGAAGCATACAATAACCTACTTGAGGCCACCCAGAAGCTTTGAACGCCCTTCGGGCTAAACAAGAAGCGTGCAACGCAGCCTGCCCGAAGGCCATCTTGTGGACAATCTGCCAAAGCTGACATGAGAGATCCAGGCATTGTTGGTGTGTGTAACTCCTCAGTAGAGGTTAACATTGTGGACCCACATGCTCGAGGCTACCAAGGGCATTATCAACGAAGTCAAATTATCCGAAGCAATAGGAAAAAGATACACAACAAGATTGCTTCCTTGCATTGTGAGGACAACAACTATGACCCAACGGGTCTGACAGGCGAGCCCATTAATTGGTTGTGTTGTGCGAAACCATTTGGCTTCATGTATTGAATTATGCCGCGTGAGGCTAGCGAGGTAGAAGCTACCCCGGGCATAGTCAACGATGTGAAATTGACTAGAGTACTCAAGGGGCAAGGGGTCGATTCTTATTTCTATGACGGACTAGGTGGGGTTCATCTCACCACTTTGATGACGTGGTGTGAACTTTTATGATGATCATATGTTGTCTTTATTTTGGACCCCGAAAACAGTAGGAGAGTGATACGTCTCCAACATGTCTATAATTTTTGTTGTTTCATGCTATTATAATATCAATCTTGGATGTTTATTATGCAATTATATATCATTTTTTGGGACTAACCTATTAACCTAGTGCCCAGTGGCAGTTGCTATTTTTTAACTTGTTTTTGGCTTCTTAGAAAATTATTACCAAACGGAGTCCAAACAATACGAGACTTTTTGACGATTTTTCCTAGACCAGAAGGGACCCTAGAAGCTTCGGGAGAAGACCGCGGAGCCACGAGGGAGAGGCAAGCACGCAGGGTGCACCCCGGGGGGTTCCCCTAGGCTTGTGGGCCCCCTCATGGCACCTCTTGACCTAATTCTAGCTCTATAATTAAATTCCCAAATATTCCCAATACACTAGAGAGCCACCCAAAACAATTTTCCACTGTCGCAAGTTTCTGTTCTTCGGAGATCCCATCTAAAGACCTTTTCTGGTACTCTGTCGGAGGGGGAATCGATCAAGGAGGGACTCTACATCAACCTTGCTTCCCTTTCGATGATGTGTGATTAGTTTACCACAGACTTACGGGTCCATAGCTAGTAGCTAGATGCCTTCTTCTCTCTTTTTGATCTTCAGTACAATGTTCTCCTTGATATTCTTGGAGATCTATTTGATGTAACCCTTTTTTGCTGTGTGTTTGTTGGGATCCGATGAATTGTGGGTTTATGATCAGATTATTCATGAATATTATTTGAGTCTTCTTTGAACTCTTTTATGCATGATTATTATAGCTTTGTATTTCTATCCAATCTATCGATTTGGTTTGGCCAACTAGATTGATTTATCTTGCAATGGGGGAGGTGTTTTGTGATGGGTTCAATCTTGTCTTGCTCAATCCTAGTGACATAAAGGGACATGACACGTATTTGTATCGTTGTAATTAAGAATAAAAAGATGAGGTTTATTCATATTGATTGGGTTTTACTTTGTCTACATCATGTCATCTTGCTTAAGGCGTTACTTCATTTTTTATGAACTTAATACTCTAGATGCATGCTGGATAGCGGTCGATGTGTAGAGTAATAGTAGAAGATGTAGGCAGGAGTCGGTCTACTTTTCTGAGATGTGATGCCTATATACATGATCATTGCCTTGAATATCGTCATAACTATGCGTTTTTCTATCAATTGCCCAATATTAATTTGTTTACCCACCATATGCGATGTTAAAGAGAGAAGCCTCTAGTGAAAACTATGGCCCCGGAGTCTATCTTTATCAAATCCAAAAAATACCTTGCTGCAATTTATTTATTGTTATTTTATTTTGTGTTTTTGTTTACCTATATATCACTATGAGATTTGATCCTTGCAATTAACTGACAAGGGATTGACAACCCCTTGTTTGCGTTGGGTGCAAGTATTTGTTCACGTGGTCTTGCGTGGTTCTCCTACTGGATTGATTGTTGGGAAATGTAGCATGCAATTTCAAAACAAAATCCTACGCTCACGCAAGATCTATCTAGGAGATGCATAGCTACGAGAGGGGGAGAGTGTGTCCACGTACCCTCGTAGACCTAAAGCGGAAGCGTTTGACAACGCGGTTGATGTAGTCGAACTTCTTATCGTTTCGACCGATCAAGCACCGAACGTACGACACCTCCGAGTTTTGCACACGTTCATCTCGATGACGTCCCTCGAACTCTTGATCTAGCAAAGTGTTGAGGGATATATCCGTCAGCACGGCGACGTGGTGATGTGATGGTGAAGTGATCCACGCAGGGCTTCGCCTAAGCACTAC